AGAGGAGGAGAAGTAATGAAATGCTGTTTCTCTAGTGGCACTGGTGCAAATTTTTGAAGGTGAAATGTAAATTTTTTCCCCCAGTATGTTATCATCCATAATTCTAAACCTGTATGACTTAAAGTAGAATGTCCAAGCAAGCTATTTTTGTCCATACAAAGGAAATTAAAGGGACTTTTCTTACTCCAAAAAGATAAAAAAGTCAGACAAAAGTAGTATATCCAGTCAGAGCTGATTCAGGTGACCTGAGTTTCAGTCATTGTCTTTTCTGATCCCATTCTCCTTCTCTCTTTCTCACTTCACTTTCTGTCTGCTCTCTGTGTTGTGTAAATAAGAGCAAAAAAAGCAAAAAATAAATCTTAAAAGGTTGACGGTACATGCAACGTTGGCTCTATTTTCCATGTCTTCTGAATCATTTCAATAAGTTAAGGTGAGGAAAAGTCTAAATTTATTAAAAGTATACCCCATCTCCATGTGTCTCAAATGATTTGGTCCTTGTGGTCAATTCAAAACATTGTTGCAGACATGGGAAAACTCTGAAAACAGATTTTTGATGTCATCTGTCTGTTATGATATGTTTGAAGTGTGAATTTAAAGTTTATATTGCTACAGTGGAGGGGAAGATTTTCAGTGAATGATAACTTAGATTTCAATCTTTTGCTCACATAAAGCCATCGTATACCTCCCAAAGCCACTAGTGCAATATCTTTTAAATTCACTTCTATTTATTCATATTATCCGTAATACTGCATATGTGTTCATAATCTGTGTGTGTGTTTACTGTACATTGTATTTATACTTTCATATTTTAATTTTTTAATTTTAAAGGGTGCCATTTTAAATTTCAGGCCGTTTGTCATTTCAGATTTCAGGCTTATATGTGCCCTCAATATTTTTACAGAGCCACCCAACAGTCAAAGCGGCATTACATCACGAAAGCGTGGACTCTGAGCAAAAACACGAGGGCTTAGGGTGCCGTTTGGGACATTAGGGTTCTATTTTGGAGCTTGACAGTTACCATTCACTTTTGTTGTATGGAAAAGAAGTCTAATCTTATGCGAAATTCACAATTGCATTCCTATTGAAATTCCTGGCATTCCTAACAATGATAAATGTGAATGCATCTTAACAGTAGGTTGACCTTCCACTGTGTGTAAACACTAGCGATTTTAAAATATTTTACATATGATACTGATTTATTTTTGTGAGTTTGGAATGGGACCACATGTTTGTCCGAACAATGGGATAGAGTGGGAATGTTCTGGAAACCTGTTTGGGAAATGGTGCTGAAATGACAGGACATTAGTGTTGCACGGTGCACCGATACTTCAAAAGTATCGCGATACTCGGAAATTAAAAACTTCACGATACCTAAATTTATTAGTATCGATACTTCTAAGAATGACCGCGTTCCAGATTTGTAAGAGAGTATTGCATGTTGGTGTGTGCAACGCACGCTTCCAGTGCCTCCCTATGGACGTCTGTGTTTTTCTCCTCATGCGCGTGTGACAGGGCGCGTGAACTGAACGAGCAGAGAGAGAAAGAGAGAGTGAGAGTGAGCGAGCCCCGGTCGCGCGCGCGCACTCTCTCTCTCTCTGCGGAGCCAGGCGAAAGTATAAACAAGGCTTCACCGTCTCAAAACTAAGCGCTGTCTTGCTCTCTCTCTCTCCCTCGCACATATTAATCAAAATAATTCGACACGATGGTAAGGTCGGGAGACTAAAGTTTCATGTGGAGCATTCGGAGTTTTTTTTCTTTTTTTTTTCTGAATTACCGCTGGGTGTAAATTGTGGTAAAATACGTTGCCTTATCTTCTCTGAATCGTTCCGCACATTCAGCTGACATAAACCACACTTTAAATAAACGAAAAAAACTATCCAGTCATGAAATGTTTTCTGTGATGACAGTGGGATGTAACCGCCTGGATAATCACACAACGCGCACACGTCCGATAATGACACGTCCAATTCGCGAACTAATGACTCATTTGAACCGATTCGTTTTAATGAATGGTTAAAACAACTGATCTGTCTGAATCGGTGTATAACTAATCGTTAACACTTTGTAATAAGGTTTCATTTATTACATAAATTACATAAAACAAATAAAAACACTTGTTTTTTCCCCCCGAAAAAGCATATGACTACTTTTTTCCACACAATGCTATCATGAATCGATAAGAGAATCGTTAAAGAATCGGATCGATAAGCAGAATCGTCAGTGGCATTGATATTGATAAAATCTTATGTTTCTTATGATAACTGAGATAATGCTGCTAAATTTATTTATTTTTTTACCTTGAATGTCATTGCTCTAATTTATTTTTTATATTTTTCATATTTCATATTTTGTTCAAATGATTATTATAGCCTATCTGCTGTTCAAATGTTCATTTATTAGTGTGTTATGATTGGAATGTTGTCCCAGTTTTAAAATAAAGCACAGCAATGATATTTGAGAGTGTTTCTCCCTTTTCAGGAAAAGTATCGAAAAAGTATCGAAATCGCAATTCTTGACTTGGTTTTGGTATAGAAACAATAATTTGGGTATCGTGACAACACTACAGGACATACATTAATAATAAATGAAAATGCAGCACAAATGCTTGTTTTTATTCAGATAAAAGCGAGTCAGTGCCTGACACATCAGGTCTAGTCAGTGTGTTGAAACAAACACAGCGTCACGTTTCAGTTAATCCCAGGGATGACTATAGCTCCTGGCAGCAGGTACGAAGAAGACAAATCTTAGCATGGCACCTTCACAGAGACCTTCAAACAACAACACACCTCAACTGTTGTAGAAGTAGTCATTTGGCTATCAAATTTTATATAGAACTTACTTGGAGCTCACAGTATAATTAGGTCTTGTTTGTGTTGCTTTTGTGTAAATGTATGTCTAAAATGAACTGTAAGGGAGTCTGTTGTTATCCCGCAGGCTAATCGCTGTAATCTCCTTCTAGGGCTAAAGGAGGATTGGAGGGTGTGTGTGCGTGTGTGTTGATTAACACTCTCTCACACACACCAGATGCAAAAGCAGCTTTAGTTACACCAAAGAGACGCTAGCAGGCAGAAGAACGTTCAGATTCCTCAGAGAGCAAGAGAGAGGAGGGGCTCAGTAGACCAACTGCTACTCTTAAGAAGTCTCTCTCACACACACACACACACACACACACACACACACACACACACACACACACACACACACACACACACACACACACAGAGTGAGACCTTCAGGACATAATTGAAATACAGTCCTACTTATTAGCTAGGGACTTCTGTCATGCCATAATAATGATTTGAACGTGTCATTAAGGCTGGGCACAGCTGGAGACCTCACGCAGGAGGTGTTTGTGAGCCCCTGTGGAGAATGTGATACGTCTAGGCAACTATTTCTAGGAACACAAAGTAAACATGACCAGAACAGAAATAAAAGCATTGCTACTCAAATCAAAATTCTCTTTAAAGATGAAGTGTGTGATTTCTGTGCCACTAGATGAAATTGCCATTGGTGGAGTTAGTCTATATACAAACATTACCCCACCCCCCCCCCCCCCCCCCCCCTTTTATTTTTACACATTTCATATATAATCTAATCTAGTTTTTTAATAAAAGTATAAACAAGTATAAATAAACCTGAAAATCCTTACGAACTTCTATACACCATTTAAGTATTTAATTAAATTCTTAATTATTTTAATGAGCGATATTACCATAATCACCTCATAGAGTGATTATGGAAGTGTTATTGATCAAAGTTTCATAAGTGTATTCAGACTCGTATATCATCTTTCTCCATGATGTGGGCACACTGGTATTTCTCCCATTCTCTACCATGTTAGGCTGGTGTGAGTGCAAAGCAGTGCAGGGGATTGTGGGAAATGTGGGCTGCCCCTGGGAATCTTTAGTTCTTCCCACTGGGAACGGAGAGGCGGGAAATGCTTCCTTGCCAAATAAAACAGCTGAACAAAAGATCTGGAGAAGGAGAGCGGATTGGACAATTGGACAGTGCAGGGAAGAAGAGAAAGAAAACGCACGCACACACTTCCACACGCTATTGTTCTCATAGTGTGAAAGTAACTTTGGTTTTATTTAAGATCATGAGGAAGGTTATGGAGACTTGAATCTGAAAGGCCTGAAATTACACTGTACCTGTGTGCATATAACGCTAATGTAAGGTGAAAACGGTCATTTAGCCTTAAACTCTGTGTTTTGGTTGTTTCTTCTGTCTGGTTTGTCTCTCTAGTGACATGGACTTACACTCACGTTCACACACCCTGTTCTAAGCTTCCTCGGCCCTGTAATTAAAATCCTCCCCTCTCCAGAAATACATCTTGACCCCACGACCAGCGCCACTGATGGGAGTGTGTGTTTCACGTGTATCTGGCGAGTGCAGCTTCTGTCTGGAATGAAAATATTGAATGGAATTGGAATGGTTTGAGCTATATTCAGACACAACGCTCACATCCTCAATTGCTGTCAAAAACTTGGACAAAATCTGAATTCCCATAAAAAAGTCTTTGTTCACTTTGGGAAACATCATGACTGTTTACGCGTTTCCTGTCCCTGGCTTCTGTCCCATGGATATGGATGCATAAACAAAGTGACAAAAGATGCTTGTCTGTTGCTTAGGATGCATCTATAGTCTGACCATTGCCATTGAGTGCGACTCAAACAGAACGTAAACGTGCTAAATTATCATAAAAAAGAATGGCATAATACATAAAAAAAAATAAAAATATATATATATATATATAAATTATTAAATTAAATTAAATTAAATTAAATGTTTTAATTCAAATAAAAAAATATATAATTTAATTAAAATGTTAAATGTAATTAATTGTTTAAATTGAATTGTTTTATTTATTTTTATTTTTTTTATTTTACTGGTAATATATAATGTCCTCTATGGCTGACCTCTTTGTTGTTATCATGTAAAGGTGTCTGTGGTCATTAATTTATTCTGTACTAACAGTGATTGGTGTTTCTCTATCTCAGACCTTTCAAAGAACCGGCTCTGTGAGGTTCCAGAGGAGGTGTGTCAGTTTGTCTCTCTGGAGACGCTCAGCCTGTACCACAACTGTGTGCGATCCCTCACGCCCAGCCTGTGCCAGCTGCCAGCCCTCACCTACCTCAACCTCAGGTACACACACATACACACACCCACTCCAGATACAGGGCCTGTCCAAATACCCACACTTGCGGACTCGACAGGAAGTAAGTGCGGAAGACTGTACCATGTCTTAAAAATGCCAAAGCGCAATGCCCTGAACTCATACTAATAGCGCTTCGGAGTGGTATTCGAGGCTAAGCGTATCCCATCATGAATCATGTCCGGGAACTCTCATGCTCTAAAATCGCGAGATGTCTTGGAAAACATTCAACTGTAAGTTAAATGAATTAGATATTACATATAATTTGGTAGTCAAACATAAAGTGTTGCACATTTTATTGGTGCAAAGATGAGTAGGCTATGTGTATTTTATACAATTGCAGCTGCTTTTAAAATAGTGTCTTTTGTTACATAGGGACTACTGAACAGATATTTAGAAGTTTATTTTAAAATGCAAAGTACTGAAAATCAAAATAAAGCTCTGTAAACACTTGCATTTTTGCAACACTATAAGTGTGTCCCATTGGGTAATCAAATGTTCTACACACACTTGCAGTCTTCATGCCTACTTGAACACTTGGGCCAAATTTAATAAAACAAGTTGTCAAGTGCAAATGTTGGTATTTGGACAGGCTCAGTGTCAGGTGTACAGTATCTACACAATCTCCAGTGTGCAGCTTGCCTGAACCAGAGCAAAATACATCAGGCCCTCATCTCAGTATAAGCTAAGTAATGTACTGGTCAAAAAGTTGGGGTCAGTAAGATTTTTTTCTTGGAAAGAGTTTAATACTTTTAATCAGCAAGGATACCAGTAAAGACATTTAAAATGTTACAAAATATTTATATTTTTAAATAAACGCTGTTCTTTTGAACTTATAAATTACATTAAAAAATATGTACTTATTATTTACACTTATTTATAAATACAAAAAAAAATCCTGTAAAAATATATCACGGTTACCACAAAAATATTTCGCAGCACAACAGTTGATAATAAGATATGTTTCTTGAGAACCAAATCATCATTAGAATGATTTCTGAAGGATCATGTGACACTGAAGACTGGCGTAATGATGCTGAAAATACAGCTTTGCTGTATCACACATACATTACCTTTTAAAAATATTAAATCACATCACACATACATTACCTTTTAAAAATATTAAAATTAAAAATATATAAAAAAGCAGTTATTCTAAATTGCAATAATATTTCACAATATTACTGTATTTACTGTATTTCTTATAATAAAAAATGCACCCTTGGTAAACATCAGGTCTCCCTGAGTGAAATTTCAGCCTCTTTGTGGCTAAAGATATTGGAAGGATTGTATATACAGTAAGTCTGTCAGTGAGTGTTTTGTACCGGTGTTAGATTGCATTCATTTAATTCTCTCTCTCTCTCTCTCTCTCTCTCTCTCTCTCTCTCTCTCTCTCTC